CCCCCCCCCCCCGTGGATTTAACAGTTCCTCTCTTCTTAACTGGATTTAAGCACCGTCCATTTCTAACATTTAGCTGCAATACTCATTGAACAGATTATAATCAATTTTGATTTAAGTTTGAAAACCTTGTGTACCGGTGCCGTTTATAGAGTAGCCACTCGTTCAATACTCTATCAGTAGGCCTATACTGATAGAAAAGAGTACTGAAGAAACGTCTGACAGATATCAACGAGACAGAGCCTTGTTATTTAAGAGTTAATGAATTACAATACACCAACTTCAAAATGAATGAACTTTCATTTTGATATTTAATTATTGATGTGTGTGTGTGTAAGAGAGAGAGAGAGAGAGAGAGAGAATAAAAATGATGGCATGGCATGGCATTTGTATTTTATGTTAATCTGCAAAAAGGCGCTTAGTACCGCGTGGTAGTGGTTTATAAAAGAAAGTTTATTTCCTTTTCATCATTTCTGAAACAAATAAAAAAGAATACCAAATTAATGCCTGACAACTGTAATTGTTCCATTGCCTTTTATGATCCCAGCCTAACCGCAGTCGTGACTGTAACTCGAGAAACATTTGTATCTTCAACAAACACATTTGTGAGGGTCACATATCTTTTTCTTTTACTTTATTAACCTGACCCACTCGATGTACATATCTATTTCAGCCAGTTTTACATATACAGGTACCCTATAGACAAATCCTACAGTGTGTGTGGTGTGTGTGTGTGTGTGTGTGTGCGTGTGTGTGTTCGTGCGTGTGTGTGTACACTTTGACCCATCTACTTGTATTACTCTTTTCAGGATTTTTAAATGTTCAACCAAGAGAAAGGGAATTGCAAAATCACACCCGATGCATGTAAGTTTGCATAAAATAAACGTTTCAGTAAAAATATTATAATCCAATGAATTTTAGACAGTTGCAGTTCGCAAATCTTACTATTTTGTTCGCATATTATGCAAATGCATAATTAAACGAAATATTATATATATGAATGAGGAATGGATATTATCAGTATAGATAATAACTTTTCTGTTTATTTTCAATATTGTTTTTTTTATTACTATTAGAAAATTCAAGTAATCGTTTTGAAAGAAGTACAATTTATGTATTTGACGTTTGCCTACTAGAAAATCCCAGTAACTATTTTGTAAGATGTGCTATTTTTCTGATCGGAGTTACATGTATATTGCCTTGTCACCTCATTATTTCTAGGATCGTAACACGTATCAAAACCCATCCGAAGTCATTTTCTCCGATCTAAATCTGACAGATGATCAAGTGAACGAACTAAGACCCAGAGAAACCACACAGCAAAGACACTACACATCTGCCACGGACAAAAATATGGCAGAACTCTCTTACCAAAATATCCCCCTTTACCATACCGCTCTTCCTGTGAACAAGAAAAATAATTCTGATCAGTTACATTTGAAAGACAACTCACTTTATGACCGCGGCGGTCGCGGAGATGACCGGAGAAGTAGCACCGACAGTCGGGCAGTTCTTTTGTCGGATCACTCAAAGGGTAATTTAAAGGGAACGTATGCACAAACTTATAAGGCCAGACAGGGCAATGAACCAGTAGAAATGAGAGAGAATTCCCTCTACCTAGGTGGACCGGAGAGCCCAATATATCATGTCCCAATAACGCCGCCCACCCAGGGGGAAAATTCTAACAACGTGTATTCCTACGCGTACTCGCACCAAAACTCTGCGTTGGACAGAACGCGGTTTAAAGAGTGTGAAAATGAGAGCGAATATGAGGATCTGTCACGTGAGCACGTGGATGGTGATGTTTATTACAGCAGGATTTCTGCTGGTATGAAATACGAGAAAATTGCGTCCGACAAACGGCTGACAGATATCAACGAGACGGAGCCTTGTTATTTAGAGTTAATTAGTTACAATACACCAACTTCAAAATAATTTATTTTAATTTCCAGTTTGATATTACATGTGTATTATGACTTTGTGCTTGTGTGCGTGTATAAGGGAAAGAGAGAGGTGTGTGTGTGTGTGTGTGTGTGTGTGTGAGTGTGTGTGTGTGTCAATGACATGACTTTTGACTTTAAATTTTATATTAATCTGCAAAAAAACAATACCACGCGTGTGAAACAACTGGTCTAGCTATTAAAGAATGGTAAATTCCTTTCTTCATTTCTGAAGTAAAACAAAAGAAAAACTGTCAGTGATAGTTAAATCTTATATTTTACTTATATGCTTAAGTTTGACTACTGTATTTTTATTATTGTTATAATAAAATATTCACCGCTGGGGTACAATTTTTCTAGAGAACTAACATTTAAGTTGAGTCAGCACTGATAAGAAGGCTAACTGCAAATGAATCCGGGGTCCGATTTATAAGATAAGAAGTGAATTTAAAACAGAGTAGGTCAAGATGAGTAAATACACTTGAGAAGGGTCTATCTCTAATACAGCCCTGCTTGAATAAACGTGAGTGCACTTTTATTATCATTATTACCGCAGACATTAGCGAAATTATTCGAAATCGCCCGTACTTAAAATTGTTCGCAGGCCCTTTTCGAGTAAAACTTGTGCAATTGTGCCAAACGAAAAAAATTAATTGTATGTATTTTGACGATGGTCTTATGAATTGGTGCGTATTTATTTCCAAAACCAAGCTGTCACTTGCTAAAACATTTGGAAAAATCAAGTGAACCACAATATTTTGTTTTGAATATTGAAATAGTCGACCCGAGGTTCATTATGCCCAGTTCTATTATTTAATCTTAAAAAGAAATGGAAAAATACTGCAGATGTTTTGCCGAATTCGAAAGACCTGTCACCTTATTTATCTTTTCGGAAAAACTTAAAAAGAAGAGGTATTTTTTGTTAACACCCTTATACGGTATAAACGGAAACATTGTCCAACTGCATGCCCTTTGCTCATAAAATGTTATAATTATACTAACATATAACTAACGTTAGAGTACTGGTATGTCATTGTAGGTTGTATTTTCTACAGGTATTTTCGTGTCAGACTTTTTCTTCTGGGGAAAAAATAAATGCGAAGTCACGGTACACTAGGACTCAGTAGGCGTACATGTACCCTTAAGCAGGGAGGCACCAATATATTTCCTGCCTTCTTCCAGTGAAGAAATCGCAATGTGACCCGTTGTATCTGTTTATGACATTATGACCCCAACGCAACAGACTTTATACTGCAGCAGCGTGTCAAAACTTCCACTTCCGCGCCCCTGTAATTGTTTACCTTTGAATCAGCGTCTTTGTCTCCGATCACGTGACAATCAGTGAGTAAACACTTGGGCCTCGGTGCGCGGCCACCATTATCTTGCTTGGGCATATTTGACCACTACGATGGGCGGTTGAAGACTGACCACAAGACGTCCGTTGGTCACAACCTTATTTGTCGAAGATGGGACATGTTTTTTTGTTTAGGAACAGAATGAAAATATCATTTTCTTAATTATTGTTGCTGTGGACGTTGGGGAAGGGAATAAGACTTTCCTAAGTGGCTTTCATACAAACTTAATTCTTTATATAACAAGGCGCTGGATGCCTTATACCGATGATGACATTAAAACGCGGATCTCTGCACTGGTTTACCAGGCTGTGTGGAGTAATTTGTCTATTTCTGTGGAATATATCAACCACCGTTAACGCTCAAGGTAAGTGTGTCTGGCATGACACTTTCACAGTGTATGTCGGTGTATAGTAGGGTTTTCAGGTGAGTGCACAGACTAATTCTCAGATGTCTCTACGAAAGGCTTATATTTGTGGAGATAAACAGGTTTACGTTCCTATATATATACATTTTTAGCCTCAAGGGCATGTTTCTCTAAATGAAAATTTAAACTAAAAACACCCAAAATCGTGTTACAATATTTCATTCTTTTTAACAATTAACGTGATAACCGCAAAACATTTAATGTTAAAGCACAGACACACCACACACACACACACTCGCATATAAACATAAAGGCACGGTACAACCGCGGACGATCAGGATGCTGTTTTACTCATAGTTGTTTCTTTCTCATATCATCCATTCTCACATTCTGACAAACTTGAAAATTTGGCTGCAAACAAACCATAAAAACATTACTCCGGCTGGTCATTTGATACCAGGGCTAAATTCAAGGGTCTTTTCTTCCGGTCAGCAAATCCGGTTAATCTATACTATAGTATGTATAAGCTGACCTGTACATTTATTGATCCTTTACACAAGGTGCAGTTTATTATGTCACCGCCATCAACGCATATATTTAATGCTAGACTGCAGTTAACCTGACACAGCTAAGTGTGAGTTACTCTTAAATGTTATATATATATATATACATGTAGGTCCTACGAGTACAGTTAATGTGATGGCGCATAGCTTATATACTGGGTCCATATTGCTATCGTTTAATTTTACAAAAAAATGACATCTACATACAGTGTATCACCAACATCCACAAGATATCATATACATATAATTACCAACGGCAAGTAAGTTAATGATAATAATTACTTTGGTGGAAGCATGGTCGCCACTTGACAGACTTCATTTTGCAACAAGAGAAAAGATGATTCAAAGGTTGAGTGTATTCATGGTTTGGGCGCTTTGGAGCGTGGATAGGTGAAATTCTAGTGAAATTATATCTTTTCATCTTTATGCCTTTGACCAATTACTATATTTAACAGCTGAGAATTCCCAGATGGCAATAAAGATTTTATATTCAAATCCGATGCCATCGAAGGAGAAAGAGAGAGAACATGAGAGAGAGAGAGATATATAGAGAGAGAGAGCGCGTAAGTGTGTTTGTGTGTGTGTGTGTTAGAGAGAGAGAGAGAGAGAGAGAGAGAGAGAGAGAAGAGTGAAGCATCTTGTCAGATTGCAGCAATATTCTACTGCCGACTTATTAAAATTAGTCCATCAAAATGCCCTACCTAACAATTTTGTATGGACGAACCACAGTGCAGGATATTCATAAATAAAATGGACTTACTGAGAAGTGCAGAAGAATCGTCAGGTTGGATCTCCCTCTCTTAAAAGCATTTACATGTAAAGGGTGGCTTCCAAAACCGAAATATTATGAACGATATTACTCATCCTGCTGATGAGCTTTTTAAATTTCTCCCATGCAAATATAGACTTTTGCCTTTTAGAGGAAGCTTTCATCCAACCGCTGTACCTCCTTTTAAGAGTAAAACATAATAATTTTACCAATTACTCTTAACTTTACCTTTAATTTTTGCCGGCATTATTTTATTTATTTGACCTTTCTAAAACCCGAGATGGTAAACTAATTTCCGTTTCATGCATATTTCATCATTTATATATTTAAACAAAAAGAACTAGAATGGTTTAATACGCCTAACGTTACATGAATTGGCACGTTTAGTATTTGCTTACAAAACCAACGATGGCTAACTAAACCCATGGCGGTTTACTGCTGTACATGTAGTTGTATATATAATCATTCTCTTTTAAACATTTTCTATATAACAATACATATTATTTTGTTTGTGACTTGACCAGATCTCGTACTGAATAAGCATCTACAATATTGCAAATAAATCCAGTTTACAGGGGAGCCTATACCGTTTGTCCAATACTAGTTCGATGACGGGCACTTGTATGACGTCCTAACAGACGCCTTGTATTGTAATTATGTCAACATTCCATGTACACACACCGTACCCTGTTTAAACAGAGACTGAAACACTATCTCAAATAGAAAATAATCCGTGTCATATGATTTTATGTCTATTCATTTATTTGCGATTTATATCAAGTTGCTCAGCAAAAGGTTTAATTTCAGAAGGGAATGGTGTTCCCATGTGTAATCAATTGTGGTCCTGATTCATGGATTGAAACGGATGATGAAAATGAAAATGCAGTGTGATAGATGAATAAACAATTAAAAAGTCAAGAGACGTAAATGATATAGCGATCTTTAGTTACTTTTTTTGTAAGAAAAATAATATTTTTACAAATAACTCAAGGCATTTTACTACAAAAAATTATGATCATTTTTGATACCTTAAGTTATCGGATAAAAGAAAATGAGAGATAACATTTGAGTTTCGTACTTTTAGAACCAACATCGTTTTAAATTTTCAGACTGGCCTTGTGGATACAACAGTAGAGTATGTACTGCCATAGACTATACGCAAGGGCAATTCGCAGTTCCAGGCAATTGCCGGAAGTACTTCAGGTACTCTATACACGACAATTTTTCAGGAACCTTTAAAACGGCAACATTCTCGTATATTTTTCCATGCTTTTGTTCTTTTCTATCTGACATCCAAATAATATTTTTTTTATTTGTTATTAATCATTTTCACTTTTATTTGATATATACCTTTTAATTCTAATAGCTCCCCCCCCCCTCCCTTGGCCGTGGCGCCCTAAGCACGTGTTTACCCTGCTTATACATAGGTTCTGACCTGATCTTAACTATTTGGGATACTTCAGATGCGTCTTCACCGGAGATGGGACATATATATGGGAGAAAAATAACTGTGGCAGAAAAAGAGCTTTCGTCCCGCTTTACGGTCTCACAGGATTTTGTCAGTTGAACGCGGATTGTTCTCCCGTACCTTGCGCCACGCCAACAACCACAACGCCAACAACCACCACGCCAACTACCACACCAACTACGACGCCAACCACGACGCCACCGCCAAGAACCACCATTCCGACCACAACCACCCCAAGAACAACGCCAACACCCAGATCAACATCTACAGTATCATCAACGTCTGTTCCAACACCGCCTTCAGACCCTCCATCAAGCAGTCCAAGTATATCTCCGTTACCAAGCAACAGTTCAGGAAACTTTCCCGAAAGAACAGAGAAGCAAACCGGCGGTGTAGATGGCGGTGCTGTCGCTGGCGGAGTGATCGGCTCCTTGCTCGTGCTGGGTTTGATCTTGGTGGGATTTCTTTGGTGGCGGAGGAGGGAATGGGTGCTAAGGTAAACTAGTTGTCTTCTTTCATTCTCAGGTATATATAATGTATATATTCCAAGGTGTTTGTTTTTCTGTTATGCTGTTTACAAGACTACAGTTGCATTGATTTGTCTTTTCAGATAGGATATTGGGCTTGTGTAATAAAGTACAATAAAGATAGCTACTTACTATTTAATCCATGACGCCACAGAGAAAGCATATGCGTCACAACCTACGGCTATTTGCATCAGCTAGAGATTGATGCTATTTCTTCAGCTATTTCTTATGGACTTTGAATAAAATGTGAAACCAGTAACGCATAAAAGTGCCCTTTCCGTATTGTTCTTTTTTTTTCAGTATCTTCGAGAGATTGAAACTGAAGGACAAGGGAGGCGCTGTCGATATGGTAAATTTTATTTTTTATTTTCCATATGTTAACTAAATATTGCATAAACATATGTTCGCTTCAGGTGTGTTGTTTCTGTAATTCATTAACCATGTCCATTGATAATATTAATTTGTAACATGTGTTACATATGTATTGTAGGCCCCCTACTTTTCTAAATTGTCTGCTAGATAAAATCTAGGAAGAAGACGTCTAGTGAAGTATTGAGTAACTGAAACATTAAAAAACTCTTTGAAAATATTTTTAACTTGAATATAAAACAATGTGGGGTTTTTGCAATTGATATTAAGCCTTTAATTCTCGACATTTTTTTTCTTTTACTCCGTAGCACGATCCGATGTACCGGGACTCCGAGAAAAGAGGAATAGAATCACCCACGTATATCGTTGATTCTGAGGATATTTACACAGAACTGCCTGACCAAACTTACGCCAACGATTCGCAACCAGAACCTCTCAGAACCAAAGCCACGATCTTGGCAACAGCTCACAAAAACAATGAAGTGCAGAAAAGTCCAGCTTTTGTGCACCGAGCTAATTCATTGTATTCCGTCAACGACAATGGCGAAGAAGAACCAGTATATCACTTTGCCGATGACCCCCAGTCAGAACCAACATACTCTTTGGCGTCAAACGACAATCCTGCTTTTCCAGCAGACGACAACACTTCCGCGCAAGCGCACTATGACCTGGCAGGTCACGTGGGATCAGATGACGTGTATTATGATACGGTAGCTGAAACTTTAGCTGGATATTCAATCAAAAGACACGACACGGGCACTAAATCTATGACACCTGAGCTGAAAACGAAACCGAAACATCCTCCATATGCTAAGGTTCTGCGTAAACAAAGCAGTACGGATGAATCTGGATATAGCCATCTTGTAGTGGCTGCATCTGAACCTCACCCGTACAGTGAACTAGAACGCTCAACTGAGGTGTATGAAAATACTGCCCAGTTAAAAGAAAGCAGCGTCGCTTAGCTTTCACCGGCTGGTGAACTATTATTTGCTTTCCATTCATACATTCCAATATTACTAGAAAATAATTTTATACCACGTGCTGGTCACATTGGGATTTTATACCTTATAAAAACAGGGCATATTGATAAGATTTTTTTTTTTTTTTGAGAGCCGTTTATAAAGGTGTGTCCAGTTATTTTTCATAACTTACAATACTTTTTTCCATAATAATCGATTAGTGGTAGCAATTTTATTAGCCATTTTCTATTTGTCAAATCATCAATATATTTCAAGGAATATAAATCGATCTTCCTTTTTAGTCCCTGCCTTTAGATCTTTTGCTTATGACTTCACATGCCTTTTCCCCGTGACACAGGTCGCGCGCCGGACTGATTTTTAACGTACATGTAGTACAGGGTTTATGGGAGATAGCGCAATGGACTTCCTTTCTGTCGAACCATTGACTTAGGGCTCTTCACAAGCTGACAAAAGTATCAATAGTATATGCACCCTCAGCGATTTTATCGTACAAAGTCCCACTGCCATGTTGTGTAGATATACATGTAATAGATTATATACATATATGTATGTATGTCTTAAAATGCACTTACTAATATTTGGAATTATTCTAATATTTTTTTCGTCATGATTTTGAATAAAATATATTTAAAAAAGAGCTGTTAGAGACCTTTTAATTTTAAGACGCACGAGTGTGGATAGAAAGCATCCACAGGGTGTTCTGATTTGAACACGGGATATGATTCGAAGTAAGATCACCGCTAACCTTTATTTGTCTGCCTGTTGTATCAGCAGTGTAGACATAAAAACGATCAGCTTGTTTGTTTTGTTCTCCTTTGTCACATCAAACACAAAGAATCATTTCACACAAAACCCGTTGAGTCACCGTGCTTCTACAGTTAAGCGCTACGCACGTTTTGACTCTGTTAAGACGCCATACAGGTAAGCGTAGTCTACGCGTGAGTAATCTTGTTGACTAACGTTTTAAGCTACTACAATATGAATTGGGTCAGCGCCCGCTGCTAAGTATGACAAAAATGGCGATATAGGTTGTAAGAGTTGCGCTACCGGGCAAGGAAACACGTGGAATGGTATGATTTCAACGGTGTTACACACAAATCGACGCCAGCCGCTCGCGGGCCATCATATACAACAAGACTGAGATAAAAATGGTGATGTAAAAGCTCTCTCTGCGTCCACTTCTCCATCTTTAACTAGCCGGTGTTGGTCGACGTCGTGAAAATGGCAAGGATAGCGTTGGGTTTCCACAAACACGTTGGCCCTTTCTTATGTTATTTGGTCCTCATTGTACGTTTTATGGCTAGTGGACAGCAGAATACAACCACTCTGACGACCACAGGTACACGTACAGTTGGTTATTAGTGTTCATCATCATAGATGACTCAACACGATAATGATAAAAGTTTTCAATTTTTTATCTATATTTGTGTGTGTTGTGTCGGTAAACGTGGGGTGGTTAAATAGAGATCTCTGGCAAAATTACATATTCCATCCACAGCCACGTTGAATTGATGTAAAATAGAAATGCTGTGCTCGTTACGAACTTCGTTATTGATTCTGACGTGTAAGGTAGTATCACGTAACTTATTAATGGAGCCATGCGGGTATGAAACGGCTGTAATGGTACAAAAGGATATATGTGAAAAACACGTACAGTTGAAAAAGAGAGGAGAGAAGGGGGATATTATGCACTCTGTGTGTTTGTAAGTGTGAGAAAAAGAGAAAGAGAGAGAGAGAAAGAGAGGGTGGTTGGGGGTCATTGATGGTGATGTCTAACTGGTTGTTTGTAGTGGCAGATTATGTTTTCGGATGTGAGTAACATTTTTTGTGACACTTCAAGTCTTTTTTTCAAAATTGTGGACGTACATTATGTATTCTATCTACATTTTATACTACTATTATTGTAATAAATTCATCATTTTTTTTTCTATCAGAGGAAGGAGTAAGACGTTCCACAATCCTAGCACAGAATGGCCCTGCCAGCCCCTCTACCGTTCACTCCACGAGCCCTGCATCTGGCGTTTCCGAACCGTCATCACCGGTAAATGCACATGGTAAATATACATTACAAACTCACATATTCACAATACAAACCGNATTTAATGTTAATATCTGGCGAAAAACGCATCTGTGTTCCTGGTAGAGGGTGTAGTTACAGTACTTTATTTAATGTCAAAGCTTACAAGTTGTTTTAAACCGAATTTCCACTTTCACAGCTATTCCATTGCATGCCCACTACAATAAATTCAAGCATGACTAATAAGTTGTTTAACCCAAGTTTCATCTTTCACAACGCATTGTTTTGTTTTCTCTTCCGCTTACTTCCTTATTCTACAGACCGTCATTCGTTAAAACGCGCTCTGCTTAAGGTGAACTCCCACTCTGAACATGACGCACACATTATCATTATTTCATAAGTCCTTGCTATGAGTAAGACGTACGCAGTACTTTGAGGCTAGAACAAGCTGTACACGGGTCTTTTTGGAGCAATTTACCGACGAATAATATTCTAATGGTCTAACGAAAGAGGCTGTGTTTTCATTTACCGTATCCAGGGATACCAGTTGATGTCCTTATCGAGACGGTCCTTATCGTGGTATTTTTAGATTTCAAACTCATTGCGGAAGAAGACGATGACCTTCGTTGACACTTTTATCGGCTTTTCACACCAGTTATATACCGACAATGGTAAAAAATGGGGCCATCTTCTTTATGTATGGTCACGTGGATGTGAAATGTTTACCTGAGTGGCATGGAGTGTGATAAAATAAGTTTCACAAGCTTTTTTACCTTATTTTCATCGACCTGGATTGAAAAAACGTAGGTACTTTGAAGAAACGTTGCCAGTTTTGGGGGACTATACACAGACCCACATATACTCGAAGGTTCGAAACCCTAAAATTCAATCGATGAGGTTAGAATACTACACGGAAAGTGTTGAGACATTTGCCGACTAAATGCCAATATCATAAAGACGGCAGAAAACTTGAATTAATAGATACACCAAGGAGCTCGTACATGTACATGTATGTAGTCACAGGGAAATTTATGAGACAAGATGGATTAATTACCCTATTCTATAAATGATAGGACTTAACGAGCGAGGAATTCTGGTTACCTGGGCAGGCAGAGAAGTGACAAACGACACACTGAGCTGCCATGAATATTCCTGTTTATTTCCAAGTGTTCTTTATTTCGGCGGTGGTCACCATGCAGAAAGGTGAGTGCCTGGGGAGGGGGGGAGAGGGGGTGGTACATGTAAAACAGACATATGTACTGGTCGTTCACTTTCTATCATAAGTTACAGAACACCCCTTGCTTGGTAGTAGTAAATAAATAATAACAACAGGTGACTTTTAGAATAACCTTGAATTATTAATAATAATAATAATGATCAACTTTTATTAAACATGCAGCAGGAATCAAGCCTAATTTTTTAAGCCTTTAAATAACATGACCCCTATGTAATGCCAACATTTTTATTCATTGACAGGAAGCAAGCAATGCTTGGATTCCTTAACACTGACGTTCTTTTCACGGCTGACATTTCATCCTCAATATATAGGACAGGTCATCTACAGTATTTTACACATCCAACAATTATTTTTTAGACGGCGTAAGGTGTCCTTGCGATAAGAAAAAGACCTTCAGTATGGAGAGGGTGTAATCAAATAATGAAAAAAAAAAGAGAGAATTTTACTTGTATACACACTATATGATCGATGTATACTGTGCGAGCACATATATGCTAGAAATTGGACTTCTTCCCGAAATATGAGTCAAGTAGAAGTGCATGTACATGTATCAGTATTATTTGTCGTTTTGCTATCGTTTATGTCCTACTGATGTCCACAAGTACTTGTTAGCACGCAAGGCTGATATAAGATAAATAAAACTTGACCTTGCAACACTGAAGTAATTTATATATAAAATAGCACTCATCAACTGCATTTTTATGTGAAGGATGTACTTTATATGTAGTCAGTCGTCTATGGAGAGCAAAGTGCAGGGTTTGCTATTTGAAATGCTTAATGTGACGCTCATGCACAAGTGAAAACTCGCGATAATATTGCAGACGCAGAGAATCCGTTCCATATGTAAGGGCAGAATGGGGAAATTTTCCGTATATGTGATAAGACCCAGACAAGATAAAAACCAATGTTAGCTTTACCGGGTCCTTATGTAGAGGGATTTGGGAG